AAGAAAAATAAGACTTATATGCCCCTTCTTACTGCTAAGGGGGATATAAATACAAAAATTCCTGTTTTCCATGTCTTACCAGCTTAAACTTGGCTAAAAAGGAGGAATTTAGGCTGTCATCATTTCTCCATCACTAAGCCATGCACTTTAAATGCCCTGATCAAACAACCAAAACCCCTTAACAGAACTAGCAGGGTTTCTACTGGATTTGTAGCCAAATAAGTTCATTGTTATAGCAATCAGAGTAATGGTCCTAATGTTTGAATTTGGGTATAGATGATGGTTAATTCAAAAAACAAACAAGCCACTGTTCTGCATAAGATTCTTTGTGTGGAGTTTGAAGAGATCTCCAATTATAATTACAGGGTTTTATAGTAGCCATAACTGATTACTAATTCAGTATTGCAAAAGAATGAACATGATGGTTTACCTTCCTGCACCGAAAAGAACCGCAAACCCAGAAGTTTTGAATATTGAATACCTGTAACAGAAGCATTTAAACTGTGTATCTCTCTGAGCTTTTGTGTGTGGAAATACAAGGCAAAAGAAAATACTGTTGTGTCACATCGGTCTAACAGTTTTTCTTGCACCTTTAGTGATTCCATATAATCCCTCAAGTCATGAGAGCTTGGACCATGTTGGTGAAGAAAAAGAGGTAAAGTAACTTAACCATGCAATGTGTATTCAGAGATCTTAAAGCCTGTGTCTCTAAATTTCAAGATTTTATTAATCTAATTTGTCACAAACTGATAACTAGCACGTGAAGCACATTTGGGTTGCTCGCTGCGGTGTAGGCAAGTATGGCTTAAAAACTGTTTTATTTTGAATCTGGAGTTGAGATGTGCTTCAATTTAGAAAGTATTCCAAAATCCTCCAGTCTCATCTGTTTTTACCTGCCAAGTCTCCTCTGCCTCCTTTCTTTCCCCTCCCATTCCTCTGCAGGACAAAGCATTTTTAAGAATAACAAGTGTTAATTGAATTACATGTTTATATTAATTTTGCTGTTTTGTTTGAAATGCTTTCACAGTTGTTAAAATTGGCAAGCCCGCTTACTCATTTCAAAGTATCTTTACCAATAGGCAATGAGCATTAGAGAAAGTGGCAAAGCTTCCTCCAGTCTGGGTCTTCAGGATTTTGACTTGCTCCGAGTTATAGGAAGAGGCAGTTATGCTAAAGTACTGCTTGTTCGGTTGAAGAAAACTGAACGCATTTATGCAATGAAAGTGGTGAAGAAAGAGCTCGTCAATGATGATGAGGTAGGCAAGCCTTTTACAATAAATCAGGCAACTCTTCCAGAGAGCTTCAGTATCTCCTACAAGGTGGGAGATAAGTGGAAATTTGTCAGAAATTGCAGTATTAAACTGCTGAACACATATTGTGTTTCTTTAGGCTACTCTGAAAAGACTAGAGTGTCTGTGGTTTGCTATCCAAGAGGTTTTGTATTTACTTCTCTGTCTACCATTGATTTAGTTTGCATTTTTTTGATGCTACTTTGCATCTGTCTGTACCAGTTTATCTTTTATAGATAAGTGTGTTCTCATTCACAAGTGTAGTTACACAATGAAGCTAAGAGTACAGAATGCTTAAGACAGGAAAACCCCATTATTCTGTATTGTATTACTTCACATTGGAAAACTACGTAATTTTTTTAGGTAAAATGAGGACAGCAAAATACTTGAATATCTTTCTGCTAATTGTCATTAATACTTACTTGACCTAAGAACTGCAACAATCCTTTCTGAATGTCACTTTTCTTAAATAGGATATTGATTGGGTTCAGACAGAGAAACACGTCTTTGAACAGGCTTCAAATCATCCCTTTCTTGTTGGACTACACTCTTGCTTCCAGACAGAAAGCAGGTAAAGGTCATAAAAGAGTCTTAGTTGAAAAATATTTCATACTGTTGGGCACCTCAAAGACCTATTTAAATCATTAAGTGTTAGGCAGGTAGTGAAAATCAATGTACCGTAGCCTTTTAGGAGCAAAAGGCCACATTCATCATCTAAACTTTTTGGATTGCAAAGATGCAACAGAATGCAAAGTACTGGTAGGTATGATGGGAAGGATTCTGAACAGGGAGAAGTGCAGCTAGCATACAAAAAAAAGGCTTAAGGATATAAGGTAGAAGACAGAACCTGGAATGGGTGGGAAAAAAGCCTTAGGGAGAGAGAAATTGGAAGTACAAAAAATAACTGGGATGGACTGTCTGATGAAGAGACTCTGAGCAAGACTCAGAAAACAGTATCTGAATTTTTAAAAGGAAAAATGAGTAACAGATGAAAATTATTATTCTCTTGTGTGTTTATATGTAGGAGAAGAGTTCACAGTAGATTAATAAATTATTACTCTATACAGTAATAACTTTCAGTGTATATATAGTTACATACTTAAATGATATCCTTGCTGTTTGAAAAGGTGACAAGTTAGAGGAGGGAAGTGAGAAGAAGGAGTGTTTGTAATATACCAATAATATTAACTCTGAACAAAGATTAAAGGGGTAAGGATGGAAAATTAGAAAAAAAAATCTGGTTTGTGCATAGAAACTAATGTGAATCTATTTATGTCGTCACATATGTAATAATGGCAAGCAGTAGCTTTAATGGATGAGGAATGGGAGAAGGTCTACTTATTTTTCTTTCCCAATAAAGGAATTATCTAGAAAAGCTTCATATCCTTGATTTTTAAACTGGGGAATTTATTCAAAGGGAGGCAAAATGATGAAACTGGGCATATTACAAGAGAGATGGGAGGAGCTGAACTGACATTGTTCAGTAACAGACCTGTAACATCTCAAACCTCTTTCAGCTTTGGAGAATATAATTTATATTGACCCCCTGTGTTTCAGGTTATTCTTTGTTATAGAGTACGTAAATGGAGGAGATCTGATGTTTCATATGCAGAGACAGAGAAAGCTGCCAGAGGAGCATGCCAGGTATGTCTAATTTCAGAGTTTTTGCAGCAAGACACAGTGCAGTAGTGCAGAGATTATCACGATGAGCTAGGAAATCCTCTCCAGATGTTAAGGATTTAGAAAATGTGAAACTGCATCCTCATTTTAAATGTTGCAACCTACCATATTTTTGTTTCAAGGAGGACCTGTACTTAAGTATTGTTTGCCGTAGTGTTACCCTGGATGACTTCAGTCTGATTCTGATATTTTTTTTTTCCCCCCTAGAAAAACACTTTCGTGGTGGTTTTTCTTTCCTTTTTTTTTTTTTTTTTTCTTTTGTCTAATGATATCAATGTGTTTCTCTTAGAACAACCACTACCAGCTGTCCAGGCAAATGCTGAATTCTTGGTGCATATGCTTCATCTCAGATGGTGAGATGAAAGGGATGATTGCAGTAGACATTAATATTAATTAAAAATAATTTTTGAAGTGACTGTGGATGGAAACATTTGTATGATTATAACCAATTTATCCACTTTTCTGATGAAAAATAATAGAATACATGGGATTATATTTAGAGAACTATACTACCAAGACTGTTGTTGTGGTTTGGGTTTTGATTACTTGAGTAATCAGTATCTCCTTTCTACGCTAGGTTTTATTCTGCTGAAATCAGTCTAGCCTTGAACTATTTACATGAACGAGGGATAATCTATAGAGATTTAAAACTGGATAATGTGCTACTAGATTCTGAAGGGCATATTAAACTCACAGATTATGGCATGTGCAAGGTAAGCTCTAGTTCCTTACTAACCAATAAAATCAACAGTTAAGAAATTGTCATAAATTAAAAGATGCAGACACTTAAAAATGTGAAATTTCAAGGTATTAATTTATACACAGTGCAGATTGGCATTTTTCTTTCCTCCATTTGTAGAAGTGAAATAAGTATATAGCCTAAATGCAGACACTACATATATATATATACTGGTTTTATAAAGCTGCTGTATCAAGTTGACTGGGAGGGGTAGGCTGTAATAGAATCATAGAATAGTTTGGGCTGGAAGAACCTTAAGGTCATCTAGTTCCACCCTCCCTGCCATGGGCAGGGACACCTCACCCTAGACGAGGTTGCTCAAGGCCCTGTCCAAGCTGGCCTTGAACACTGCCAGGGATGGAGCAAGATAGCTTGATTTCAAGAAGAGCAAGAGGTTGAAATATGTCAGTCACACTTGCTCCCATTGAGAATGTATGACACTTCCCCTTTTCTCTCAAAATTTACAAAGGCACTGGAGCACATGTTTGACTTTGCCACGGAATTGCCATTATGCTGATCTGTTAGAACTGTTTTAAATACTATAATTTGGCTAAGCAACTGAAAAGCATAAAGTAGTACAGGTTGGAAAGGGCCTTAGGATGTCTTATCCACCCTCCTGCTCAAAGCAGGGTAAGCTGTAAGATCAGGCTAGGTTACTAAGGCTTTATTCAGTCTGTCTCTGAAAACCTCCAAGGATGAAGACTGCACAACTTCTTTAGGTAACTCCCTCCCACATTCTGCATCCCATGGTCTTCTCTGTAAAGTTTTTATCTGTTCATTGCAACACCCCAGTTATGTAAGCTGTTCCACCATGCCTTAGTTATTCCCATTTGCCTATCGTTGGAGATGTGGTGGAGCTTACTAGTGAAAACCTTAAAAGATGTTGTCATAAATAGGTATGTGCCATCCTCCTGAGACTTTAGATGAGTATTTATTTTTTTAGTATAACTATAATATATAAATAAGCATAAAATATATATAAATAAAAATGTTTATTTTTGAATAAACAAAAGCAGTTTATTGTGGACATTTAAATTAATTCAAAATCAAGTTCTTAGCAGAGGGGGAATGTGTGATCCTTGGCTAACTGCAAAATATTTTCTTTCCATCTTTTCTTAAAGGAGGGTCTGAGGCCTGGTGACACAACCAGCACATTCTGTGGGACTCCAAACTATATTGCACCTGAAATTCTCCGTGGAGAGGATTATGGTAAGTTGAATTTCTCACTGCTACCATATAACTTTCATCTTGTTTCTTACAACTGACTCAAGTTGTTTAGCAGTAGACACTCTAAATCTCCATTAGACATGTGATCATTCTTAATTCAGAAAAAAAAAAACCAGAACAAAAAACCAAACAAAAACAAACAAAAAAAACCCCAACAAAACAAAACCCCAACAAAACAAGCAAAGAGAAAAAACTCAAAACAACAGAATTTGTTTAAAATCTACCATCTTATTTCCGTGGGATGTCTTTTCCAGACTGTCTTCACATCTTCCTTCCTTATCACAAACTTTCCAGGCCAACCAGACTGTATCAGTCCATCCTAGCTACTGAATTTTTCTTTAGCAGTGGATAGTAGAATAGCTGTGCTCAGCTCCATAGATGACTGTCTTGCTACCACACATACTTCCCCCTTGTCCTTGTCCCCTGCCCTGGATAATGCACTACTAGTAATGCCTAGGCTTAAATATTATCTAAACCTTTGATAAGGTCCTAATGCCAACCTTTAAACTTTCTGCATTTCCTTTTCTTTGTACAGCATCCCCTCCTATAGTGCACGCAGTGAACCAAGTAACGTCATGTACAATCATTACCTCTTTAGTTGGATAATCAGAAAACTGGCAGTATTTAAATTTTTTTTAAATCATTCTTTCTTCTCAAAATATGCTTGTCTTTAGCCCCAGAAGTGTTGGTATTTTTGCTCCAAAATACTTTCAGTGGCATTTTCTCCTCTGACTTCTAGGCTTCAGTGTAGACTGGTGGGCACTTGGTGTGCTTATGTTTGAAATGATGGCAGGCCGGTCGCCGTTTGATATTGTTGGGAGTTCTGACAATCCTGATCAGAACACAGAAGATTATCTTTTCCAAGGTAAGTACCCTGAGTAGTGTTCCTACTCTTCTAGGCCTTTGTGTCTACTTACGTATAATCAAACTTTAAAGATGTGAATGCTGATATGAACCTTGTTTTCTTGCAGTAATTTTGGAAAAACAGATCCGAATTCCCCGATCCCTTTCTGTTAAAGCAGCAGGTGTTCTAAAGAGCTTCCTTAATAAGGTAAGAGCTAAAGGGGGTTAGTTGAGACTTCTCAAGAGCAGCTGGGTTTTTTAAACCAGTTGACTAGTTGATGGTTAGGCATCACGCATAGGCAGACATACGTTATCTGGGTAGAAAAAAAACGGGGTAGAAAAGATGTGAACGCAGAATTTCAGTGGAGCTGGTGGACCTGTTGTAGATACTTGTGTTGAAATCTAGATTTTCAAGCTGGGATCGTGAGTAAATTTCAAATTGAAAGGCATAGGAATATTCCAAGTGATTAATTTGGGGAACTGGACAAACTTACCCAGGTTTATTTTGGTTCCTAAACAGAAGCAGCGAATCACTTTGACAACTTTTGATGACTTTGTCAAGGGAAATGCAGAGGCTGTATACACTTGCTGTTTGTTGGTAGCTAACTAGCCTGATAGTCCAAAGCTGCATATGTGGTAGTGGACTAGTCCTAGCGTTTATTTAGTGCGTGTAACTTGACTGGGGAGAAAGATGCATGGAGGAAAACAGGTTTGGTTAAATTATTCTAAGAAAGTAATATTGTTCAGGAACAGTACTTCAGTTTCAACTCCTTACTAGCATGTGCATACACGTATGTGGAGGTGGCATTGTCTTGTTAAAATGACCTTCTGTCCACTGTATTTATCAGTAACCTGCAATTACTCCCCCAGTGTGATTGCCTGGCACAGTCAGTCTGCTCAGGGAGGGGTGGGGAAAGAACAAATTCACTTGTAATCTAACCAAGTTTGCTCTGAAAGATACAGTACGTTGAAACAGGTCTGAGTAAAAATGAAGAAAGATAGCATGATTGTTCATATAGATTTCATTTAAGGGCTTCCATATATTCATGCCTATTTCAGACCGTAAATTGAAACAGTTTCCAAAAGAAAAAATGCTAACTTAGTTCTTCAGTGTCCCTCATAACTCTGGTGTTTCATTACTCATGGAGTTTGTAACATTTGCCTGTTGTTCGTGTGTAGGCCATTGCACTCATTTAGAAATATTTTCTTCCTTGCACAGGATCCAAAGGAACGTTTAGGCTGCCATCCTCAAACAGGATTTGCAGATATCCAGGGACATCCATTCTTCCGCAATGTTGACTGGGATCTGGTATGTGAATGCCCACTTGCTTGGCTTATTTTCTTCATATGCAGTGATGGCTTAACAACTTCTTTTGAGATCAGAGATGAACTTAAGCTCAAAAACCTTAAGCTCTTAACTTAAAATGTACCACAATGATAACACAGAATATTTTAACCCTTTTGCACACAAGTAAGTACAGTAGACTAATAGAACGATTTTATAAAGTATACAAAAGAAACTTAACAGTAACTTCCAGCCTTGTTTAAAATTAACTCAACAGGTTGTAACTCATTCTTGGTGTCACTAAGTGTATTTATTCTTAGATGGAGCAAAAGCAAGTGGTGCCTCCATTTAAACCAAATATATCCGGCGAATTTGGTCTGGATAACTTTGATTCCCAATTCACCAATGAACCTGTGCAGCTCACTCCAGATGATGAGTAAGTAATGTAGAATTTAAAAAGTTCTGATAAGCTAGTGAAGGAGTTACAAAACTTTAGCACATAGAGTATACGTAAAGCAGTAAATAAAATTTTCTTGTGTTAGTTAGAAGAAAATTCTATTATATGTCTTCATGGTGGACTTAGCATGGCTGGATTAAGTCTTGTACTCTGGCAAGGTGTAAAAATCAACTAACAGTGGGAAAGTTGCTATAAAGAATCTTAGTTCAAGGAGAGATGAGTAAGTGCTATTTTACAAGTTTCAGTGGTAGCATGTGTAAGAAATGAACATGTGAAGGAAAAGACTTGTTTTATCGAGTGGTTTATTTCTGCAGTACTTTAAGCTGTGGTATTTCTAAAATACTGGGTTTAGGTAGAGTTCATCTTGTGTGTTCTGAACAAGACATGATGCTTTGATTGGCTTGTTTGGGTATTTTAAGTTACTAGGTTAGTCAAGTGAGATTATGCTGGCTGATAAAGCCGTGATAAAATGCATGATAATGCACTTGATTTTGGTAGTGGATTTGTGGTTCCTTACTCCTGAGGGGCCACAATTTGGGTGAGGAGGGAAGTACCTTCCTAGTTTGACTGAGCCACTTTGTTTGCATTTTAGGACTCTTTCTAGGGTTTTGTATATTGTTTATGTAGTACATAAACACAAACAGTGAAAATGAGACCTTAGCTACATACTGTAGTTAGGTCTGAGATCCAACTTCCTTCTTCATCCATTCAAATGCAAAATGTACAAACTAAATTTAGATAGTTGCTGTTGCAGGTGCAGTATCCTATTACATTCTATTCAGCTTTTTACAAAAATGACTGTTTTGGAAAAGTTTTAAAACTGCAAACTTTGCAGATTTCTTTGTGGGGAAAATAGGGACAAAAATAGATTTTCTCAATTGCAATCTGCTGCACAGGACTAAATTTTAAGGCAAACTCACTTAATATTGTTACCTTTTTAATTTTGCTGAACTAATGACTGTTTTCTAATCCAAACAGTGATATTGTGAAGAAGATTGACCAGTCAGAATTTGAAGGCTTTGAATATATAAATCCTCTTTTGATGTCAGCTGAGGAATGTGTCTGAATTCTCCATTTCTGGACTGTGCCAATTGTTACTCTGTTTCTGCATGGATAAACATCTCTTCATTTGGATGCACTTGCATAAAACGAGTAACTGAACATCTTACCCTTGCCACCTAGTATGAATTACTCACTAATTTTCTTTTTGTATTAATTTTCGTCCAGGACAGTTGTTCTGCTGAGCCTTCGGCTGCCATATTTAAAATGTTCAACTTTCCAAGTCTTGCCAAACTTGAACTTTAAGATCAAAGTTGGTCTCTGGGGCTCCTGACTGCACAACAGGGTCTGGCTGTGTAACAATCTGCCAATATAGCGTTCTGATAAAGGAAAGTTTTCGTACTATTTTAAGAACACAAGTTGTGTTAGGGGATGTAGTAAAATATCATTAAAGGACTTACATTTTTCCAGCGAGCAAGTAAGGCCTTATGACTTCTGTAGTTCTAAATCTCTCTGCTCTGAATATCTGATTTCCTGTTCTTCTAGACTTAGAAGTTAGAGCTGTGTTACTGCCCTTCAGGTTGAAATGACAGTAAGGAGGGCAGGTTTTTAAACTGAATAGGTCAAGAATGGTTGCTTTTACAGGATATATTGATCCTGTTCTAAGGGAGATGATTATTAGAATCAATAGACTGCTCCAGAATTACACGCTAGGAACTGCATGCTGAAAGACAGAGAGTGCCTTTGTGAGCCTGTCCCTTTCAGTGAGGGTTGTCCGTGGTATAAAGTGTCAGTTTAAATAAATGGAATTTGGTTAATACTTTTGAAAAGTTAAAACCTGTAGTGCGTGCTTTAGCGGTAATGGGCAGCTAATATTGACAGACATAGAAAATCATGCTGTTACTACTTGCTTTTATACTTCCTGTCTGAACTGTGTCGGAACTGCACATGTTACAACCACCGCCTAGATAAGGGCATTGTTTCCTTCTTTTAATCTTACTGCCATACTTTTGGAAATGCATTCCACTTTCCCAGTGGAAAAAACACATGGAGGGGAGGGGAAGTGCTGTCCACAATAACTCCCTTCACTTCTCCACTTGCAGATGGTGATTTGTGATCACAATCAAACCTTGAATGTTGGTAATAAACTCAATAGGAAAGCAATTGGAATCAATTGAAAGTACTGTTCAAACTAGGACTTTTGGGAGGTGTGATTCTTACATTTCAGGTTAGAGAACAGTGTAATATACAGCACAGATTATTCTTATTTTTAATGCTTAAGGAATAGTTTTGAATGTTTTAGGCTGAAGAAATGCCAAATATACCACTTTTTTATTATTCTGGGGAAAAGGGATTAAGAGACACTGAAGAAAAGAATCAGTTATATAAGTAAGAGCTGTAAGGAAAGCTAAGTGTTACTGTAAGCAGATCTAAGTATCTGTAAGCACAAGTTAGCAAACCTTATCTAAAACTTAAGAAATCTGCTCACTCATTGTGTCTCCTTGAAAATCCTCATATGGCCACACTGTAAATTCATAGCACAAATCTTGCGGTGTATGTTTTTTCACTTGCATGTTAGCTTCAAAGAGAGCAATTGCACAAATGCACAGTGCTGTCATGATATACAGTATTTAGTTCATATTTTTCTTTGCAGTGTGAATGGGAAACTTTAAGTATTGGGCTGAGTTTTTCAAAACTGGGAAGTGATTGGAGGGGCCTCAGTTTCAGGGAAGCATTGACCCTCTGCACTGTTAAAAATCAGGTTCCCTTAAATTCAAGTTGTATATTTTCAATTATAAAATATTGCAGTAAACTTACTTCTAAAGAGCAGCTAATAACTTCAGCATGTTTAGTTCATGTCAAGTGAACTGCTTAAATGTTTAGCCTCTGACTTCTACACCTGCATGCCTAGTTTTAGACATCAGGACTTAACATTTGATATTAAACTTGGAAGTTATTTAAAGCAAACAAGAAAAGCCTTGTTTCTACAGTGGCTTAATTTCATATGGGGTATTGAGTAAAATAGTTTTATTTAAGGAAGGGCATTTCTGCTATTCATCACAGCAGAGTAATGGAGTAAAACACTGTCTTTTGTGCTTAAAGCAGAAATTAATTTTTTTTACAGATAATGTCACAGAGGATATACTTTTTTTATTTACGGATCTAACCACTAAGAATGTTGCTAAGTGACAGACACCTTAAATGACTGTAAATCGATTTTTGAACCTTAATTTTCTCCAAAGTGCCATGATATTAGCAGTTACTTTTCATTGTTAAGCATATAGCAACAGTCATAAATATTCAGAAGGGACATTGGGTGTAAACAGTCCAGTGCCATAGGCTTTATCTTTTGGAGAAGGCATCTGCATCAGAAGCATGATGTATTTATGTGGAATTACCTCCTTTTTGTATGCGAGTTGGATTCTTATGGGTACTCTGCTAGTTAATATTGTCACTACTATTTTCCTGTTTCATATGGAATTTGGTCTTGAATGTTGTTGTGTAACCATTCCCTTTATTTGTGCACACTTTTTACTTTAAATAAAACATTTGTATTAGGCCTCTCTGTGTTAACCTCTAAAACAAATAGTGCGAAATGCTGGGCTTTGCTTGTCATCTGAGCCTTAACTATCCAAGTCACAGGAGAGTTGTTCTAATCTTGTCATTCCTTCCAGAAGATAGCACTGGGATGACCACAGCAACCTAAGACACATCTCAGCCTGTGTTCCCCAAATGTGTCTTAAAATGCAGGTCCCTCTCTAGTGTGGATTGCCAGCCTTATGTTAGAATCATAGAATCATAGAATA